AGGATCGCTTGAACCTGGGACGTGGAGGTTGCAGTGAGCTGAGGTCATGCCACTATACTTCAGCCTGGGCAACAGAGCGAGACTCCGTCTCAAAACAAACAAAAACAATAACAACAAAAAAGGAGCTAAGAATGACAGCTGCAAGGTTGCCTGAATTAGGGGTCCAAGTCAAGTTTCCCCCAAGGTGCAGGCTGTCTTGGTGGATCGCCTCAGAATAAATAAGCAAGTGATTTGTGAAGGTTGTGAAGGTTTTTTCTTTTTTTTGAGGTGGAGTGTCTGTCTGTCGCCTATGCTGGAATGTAGTGCGATACTCTGCTTACTTGGCTCTGCCTCCCAGGTTCATGCATTTCTCCTGCTTCAGCCTCTGGAGTAGCTGGGATTGCAGGCGTGCGCTACCACAACTGGCTAACTTTTGTACGTTTAGTAGAGACAGTGTTTCACCATGTTGGGCAGGATGATCTCAAACTCCTGACCTTAAGTGATCCACCCACCTTGGCTGCCCAAAGTGCTGGGATTACAGGCATGAGCCACTGTGCCTGACCTGTTCTGCCTTTTGGTGGGAAGTTGAGGCTTATAAGTTGGGATGAGTTGGTGAGAAGTTGAGACTTAGCACTGTGACTAGTTCTACGCCCTAGGATCTTCAGAACAGCAGAGCTGTAGCTCTCTGGTAGTGAACTCCCTGTTGCTGGGAGTATTCAGTGGCTGGATGGCTGGCTGTTAAGGGATACCTGGTTTGGTGGGAATTTGGGTCCTTCTAAGACAGATAACCTATGATTTCCAAGGTAAATGAGAAAATACTTTCAATGAGGGCAACATGTTACGCTGGGTCAGTCTTGAATACAGAATGGATTCAGAGGCCTGAGTTGTCAGGTTCAACCTGATTTTCATAGCCCCTTGGGAACCATTTGAGGTGTGGCGGGATCTAGCAAGTCAGCTCCCAAAGGGGGACCGAGCCAGACCTGCTCTTCATGCTTTACGATAATTCAGTGAGCTCATACAAACTGTGTCCTGCAGCATATGGGTTACAATTCAATGAAACGTTAAAATATCTACCCCTCTAGCATCTCCTGTGTCCTTCACAGCAGTTCTATCAGGTTGGCTGCCCTGTTTGGCAGCTGAGGCCTGTGTCTTCCCCAGGATCACAGATATATGGCTCTGAGCCCCACTCTTGGGGTTTTCTCCATCAAAGAAGAGGAGCGCTTTGAGCTTTGGGAGGAGCAGCCCTCTGCAAGTGAAGTGAGAAAAAAAAGGAGGCAGGCGAGCAGGCCCATTCAGACCCTCCCCCAAGACCCTTGCTGAAGTGGCTGGAATGCGGTGTGCAGAAGCCCTCCTTTCCTTCACAGCCCCTGGCTTCCCAAGAGTCCCTGCCCACCCAGGTCCCCACTGGCAGATGCAACCTCTTCTCAAGGACACTGCTTGCTGGATAAATCCCTCACCATCCTAGAGACAACCAACAGTCCTAAGACGAGGACACAGGCTAGGCTTGATGCAAGTAAATGCCTCCTGCAGAAACCAGTGAGGCCGGACCTCTGGAGGAAACAATGTAGGGACAGAGGCGGGAGGGCCTCTAGGAGGCACCAGCACAGAGTCTTCCCTAGACTCAGACTTTCTGTGCAAGCACAGAAGAAAAGCACTTGGGCAGTGCCCTTCCCTGCATACCTGGCCTCTGCTGGAACCCATGCAGGGACAGGACACTCACTCCTTTGTCAGCAAACCTGTTCCTCTGCTGGGCAGCTTCACCTGGACATGCTCCTTTACCTTGAGCTAAAATGGGTCTCCTGTTGTCCTCGCCCATCAAACCTGGCCTTGCCCTCAGGAACCACACAGGACAAGCCTGATAATTCCTTCTTATGGCATCATTTGAGAAATTGAGACCTGGTTGTCAGGTCTTCCAAATAAACATTTGTGACTGTGACATTGACTTGCCACTTCTGGGACCTCTTCTTATTTGATCGTAGAAAGTTTTCCAGGGTTGAACCTACTTGTTTCCCCCCAGAAACACTTTTTCTCAGGCATGGTGGCTCACGCCTATAATTCTGGCACTTTGGGAGGCCAAGGCAGGAGGATTGTTTTAGACCAGCCTGGGCAATGTAGGTAGATCATGTTGCTACAAAAATAAAAAGAAAAAATAGCCAGGTGTAGTATTCCCAGCTGCTTGGAGGCTGAGGTAGGAGGATTGCTTGAGCCTAGGAGGTTGAGGTTGCAGTGAGCTATGATTGTGCCACTGCACTCCAGCCTGTGTGACAGAATGAGACCTTGTCTGAAAAAAAAAAAGAATAAATAAACTCACGTTATTTCTCCCTTGAGCATATTGTTCCCAGGCTCAAATCCACAACAGCCCCGTCACACACCTGTCATCCCTGGCCCCAAGATATCACACCACCTTCCCCTTTCTAGCTCTTAACTGCCACATGAAGCAGCCAGATGTAGGAAAACCCAGATTCATAAAGCACTGATATGGGTGATCCTTTACCAAAGGATTTTTCACCAGACAATTTCTCTAGAGTATGGGCAGGAATGTGCAAACTATAGCCTAGAACCAGCCTGTTGCCTCTTCTTTATAATAAAGTTTTATCAGGATGCATCTACATCCATTCATCTGTATGCGCCAGCTGCTCCAGTTACACAGGCACAGTGTCGGAGTTGCAGATGGCCAGCAAGACCTAAACTATTTACCACCCGGCTCCTTACAGAAGCACTTGGCCGACCCTGGCTCCAGGGCATTAGAAGTGGGACCATTGGAAAGGAGGAGCCGGGCTACATGATTTTTCTCCTGCCCCACGTCTTGTTCTCAGACACGTGTCCTCCCTGGTCATCTGAGGAATGTTAGCCTGAGACAGTCAGGAGCAGGTGTGCCTAGGAATGCATAGCTTCTGAAAATGGGGCTGGGGACCCTTAGGCTGAGGGCTCTGGCAGCTTCTGTCTGAAGGCCGAGCTGAGCTGAGTTGGGCACGGTGGTGCATACCTGCAGTCCCAGCTACTCAGGAGGCTGAGGTGCGAGGATCACTTGAGCTCGGGAGGTTGAGAGGAGCCTGGGCAACACAGTGAGACCTCATTTTTATTTTTATTTTTTTAATTTTATTTTTTTTAGGAGTAGAGGGTTAATAGGCAAAAGAAAGAGAGGAAAACAGCTCTCTCCAGTGAGAGAGGGGACTTCCAAGGAAAAGGCCAGTGGCAGCGCAGGCACTGGATTTTATAGCCAGGCTTGAGGAGGCGGTGTCTGATTGACAGAGGACTCAGATTGGTTCCATCAGGCATTACATTTACATAGCAGAAGGGAAGGCTGGTCTCCCCACTCTGATCTTATTATGCAAATAAACTTTCCCCTTGGCTGTCACCATCTTGTCTGCTCCTTACTGTACATGTGGCTGGCAGAGAAGGAAAGATGGACACGCCATTTTGAACATAATTGGCACAACTGCTGGCATCTATGGCTGCAGCTCGATTTTACAGGCTGCTCTTTGTTAGAAAGGAAAGTGATTTTGGGCAGCTTTTCATTAAAAGGAAAACTTACTGAGGACTTCTGTACCCTCACTATCTAAGTAATTT